CCCCCCGGGGGCCCGACCCGCCGCGGACGGGTCGCGACACTTCTCAGACACCAGGACTCCAGTCGGGAAAGCCCCTTTTCGGCCCCCCGGAGGGGGGAATTCCCGTGACGTTTCTATACGTCACGCCCCATGCCCCTTTTCATTGGCCAAAAGTTTAACTCCAGACTCGCGCAGCCAACCCGGAGCGACTCAGGCGGGCCCCTTACAGGGCGAAGGTTTACGCCGGGCGGGGAGCGGGGTGACTCTCCGCTGGGCTGGCGGAGGACCAGCCCGAGGGGGACCTCAAACCGAGAGCCACCCCAGCGAGGGCCCCAGCTTGCGCTCATCACCCTCTCAGGCCTGCCCTAGACGGCTGGGAGCACCTCAGCTTTTGCTGCGCCAAACGCCTGGCTGCCTCAGAGCCGGGGAACCCCAGGGGGAGCCAGTGGCCCCAGCCGTGGGGCTCCAGCCCTGCGGCCCCAGCCCGGAGCCGGGCCTCGCTGCCGGGAAGACTTAGGGGAAGAGGAAGGAAGCTTCTCTTGCGGTTGGTCTCAAGGCGCCATCTGGCGGGCGCCCTGGAACCGCAGAGACGCCGTGCGGTTCCCCGGGCCTTCCTATGTCGCGTAGGCTCTTTACAGCCAGCCTTTGGCCCCGGGAGGAGACAGTCTGGACCTAGAACCCACTCTGAAGGTGGCAGGTTCATTGCCGGCCAGGCTTTCAGGCCGACTTGCGTCCCGGAGCTCTGTGGTGGCAGGAGCTTATCCGGGACACATGAGCCTCGCCCACCCAGCTCCATCTGGAATATCAGAATGGAAAAGGCGTCCAAAACCTGAAGAGCTCAGACTTCCTTTGAGGTAGGAAGTCGCTCTTAATACACTTGCCGACGTCTACGAGAACGCGCACAGCGGCAGCAAGGTCCGGGCAGGAACTGGCCAAGCACCTGTCTGGGTGGTGGAGGTGCTCCGCAGACGGCCTGGGTCGACTCCATTCCTGGAGCAGTCCCCGCTGCAGCTCCCGCCCGCAGTTCACCGCAGGGAGTTACACAGGGACTATGGCTCTTGCTTTGGGCTAGTTCCTGATACTACTTCCGTGTCCTCATCGCGCCTGCAATTATGAGCAGGATAATGTGTCAGGGTACTTTAGTATAAGCTATTTATCTTTCTCAACAACCCTAGGAGGTAACTATTATATTTTTTGTGAAGTTTTTTAAGAGAGATTTTTGGTATAGGAGGCTACAGAAAGCAAGAAGTCACTCAATGCCAGGGGGGACGGCCACACCTCAATTCCTTCTCCATTCTCCTCCTGGGATTTTGGTTATGGATGCATAAGTGCCCGGCGTGGTTTAAGCCACTGAGTCCCAGACTCAAACCATGGCGACTACGTGGGAGTCCAGTGATGTGACCAGCACGCATCTGCTGGTCCCAATATTACCTCTGCTTTACTGATGAAATGTAAGGCTCTGGGCTGGCTCCATGCCCTGGTAGCTATGGGGGCTCCGTCCCACATAGCCAACTGCAGTTTGAATCCCAGCCCCAGTGGCTGGAAAAAACACCCTGAACATGTGTGCATGTGTGCCCCAAATCTCAACAGGGTGGAGAAATGGAGAAGGGATTGAGATGTGTCCATCCCTTGAGGGGTGCTCTCTCCCTCTCCTCACTCTCTGTCTTTCTCTGGTGAGCACATGTGCCCTCTAGCAAATCTTTTTTTTTTTTTTTTTAAAGCACAATAGAGTAAGGTTAGTTTGGTTTGTTCAGACTTACTGAACCTGTGCTGGTTTCTTTTTATTTATTTATTTATTTTTTTGGAGAGTTTTTTATTTTTTGCTACAGGGTGCATGCACTCACCAGAGAGACAGGGAGACAGAAAGCGAGAAATCACCCCCCAAGGGGGATGGCCATGCCGCAAAACCTTCTCCTCCATTCTCCTTGGGATCTTGGGCACGCATGCACACACACCCGGCGTGAATTTAAGCCACTTGGTGTAGGCTTGAACCGTGGTCAACTACGTGGGGGTCCAGCGACATAGCCATTACGCTAACTGCTGGTCCCACTGGTTTCTATTCTTCATGACTGGTCTTTCAAAGCACTCATACACCACCAGTTGAAATTGACATGAATTCTTGTAATTCTCACACACCCTAAACACCCCTAACAGTTGAGCTATTTTAGTTACAGTATTCTGAGTTGTTATTTGTCCAAAGATTAAAAAACAAAACAAAACTGCGATGAGCAGGGGGCATGGTGGTGGTTGAGGCACTAGACTCTCATATGGCTGACTGTGGTTCGAGTCCTGGACCTGGCAGCTTTCTTTCTCACTGTTCCTCTCTGTCTCTGGTGAGTAAATTAAAAATAATAATAATAAATAAAATTAAATAAATAATTCTTAAACAAAAATTAAACCACATAGCAGTTACGTCAATGGACTCCCACAAAGCCGACTGTGATTTGAGTCCCAGACTCATGGGCTTGAAAATAACACCCAGTGTGTGTGTGTGTGTGTGTGTGTGTGTGCATGCCCAAGATCCTGGGAAGAGAATGGAGGTGTCATGACCATCCCCCTTGATTATTTCTCACTTTTCCTCTCACTGTCTCTTTCCAGTGAGTACATGTGCCCTAAGGCAAAAACCTCTAAAAAAATATAACTTGGGCCAGAAGTGGAGTGGTGGTTAAGGGGTGGAGGTTCAGTGATGGACTCTGACATGGCTGACTGCAGTTCGAGTCCTGGTCCTGGTGACTTGCTTTCTCACTTTCCCTCTCTCTCCCTCTCTTGTGAATGAAATAATAATAAATGAAATTAAATAATAACTCTATAAAAATACTTTAAAGACCATAACTTCATTATAGATCATTTCAAATAAATACAGTGGAAAGAAAGTGTAGTAAGTCTGAGCTGTCACTTGTCAGTGCTGACAGTTCCAAATGCAGGTTAGCCTGGAGTTTTTCCACTAACTCGAAATAGTTTATTGTTAGTTGCTGTAATTTCATGTATCTGGGCTTATAAAACCTTCTCACTGCTAGCCCCATGGCCTACTGGTTAGGGCAGCCAGATCTCGCATGGCTAACTGTGTTTCAAATCCTGGCCTGGCAGCTTGGAAAACACTCCAGGTATGTGTGCATGCCCCACATCCCTGAGGTATGGAGAGAGGGAGAAGGGATTGCAAGCATGCCTGTTCCCTGTTGGGGATTCTTTCTCCCTCTCCCTTTCTTTCTCTGTCTGGGGAGTGCATGAGCCCTCCCCCACTAAAAAAGAGAAAAGAAAGCGAAAGCAAGAAACCTCTTCCTTGTCCCATTGGTTTTC